TGTTGAAAGATAAATTGTTTTTCTCACACCAGCAATCCTAAATTATAAAGATGATCTATCCTTAGTTGATGTGGATAGACATATTCACCCGTCTTCTGTGTGTCCCTCCTCTACAGTCATGTTTGTAGACCTTTAAATCAAGATTGGCTTAATGTCGCTGTAAGGAGCGGGTATAGGTTGTGGACTTGCAGCTGGAACGGTGCCTTTTCCCCTCATGGACACTTCCTATGTGCTGTTGAGCAAGGCACCATCCCTGAAAGTATTTCAAGGATGCCGTACTGTGGCATCATTGGTAGTTACAGCGAGGATAAATCCTCGATTTACAGAACTCTTGCGAGATGGTTGAGGTTGGACATTGACCCCGAATGGCTCAGGTGATGTTACAGGGTGATGGTGTTTGTGTGTGGATGTTTGTGATGGCCGGTCCTGGTAATGATGAAGGACCACAAAGGTTGGTGATTGACCTTGAATGGTTGAGGTTAGGCATTTACTTTGGTTATGTTAAGACATTGACCTCCTATGGTTAAAGTAAGGCATTGACCTCCAATAGTTAGGGTTAGGCATTGACCTCCAATGGTTAAAGTTAGGCATTGACCTCCAATAGTTAGGGTTAGGCATTGACCTCCAATGGTTAAAGTTAGACATTGACCTCCAATGGTTAAAGTTAGACATTGACCTCCAATGGTTAAAGTTAGGCATTGACCTCCAATGGCTAGGGTTAGGCATTGACCTCCTATGGTTAAAGTTAGACATTGACCTCCAATGGTTAAAGTAAGACATTGACCTCCAATGGTTAGGGTTATGCATTGACCTCCAAAAGTTATGGTGAGGAAAGGTTTTGAAGCAGCAAACTTTGCAAGAGTTTTCGCCAATCTTCTTCGATCGAGGTTACCTTCTATACAACTTATTCGTATCTTATCATTGCCATGTTTCCACCCAGATGAGGCCCTCTGACTTTTCTTCGTTCCCCCTTACCTGACTGCCATACCCATTACACATGTTCCCAAACAGCCTTGCAGTTTAAAAGCAGCTGTATTCCACAGCTGGCCAGTTTGTTGAAGTGTCTTGATGTTGTTGTCCTGTCCTTTGGCTTTCAAGTTTTCTGTTATCTGAATCTCAACCTGGACTTTTATCTACCTGACCTTATGCTTGATTACGGATTTATGATTCTCTGCATAAAACCTTGTCAGATGTATTTGTCTGTATGATGTTCCCTGTTTCGACTCTGGCCTCCTCATGACTCTGTAAGCTCTTGTACCCTATTTCTTTTTTGTATTAGTCTGCATTTGGGTTAAATCCCCAGTTACCCTGCTTACTCCAACCGTGACAGAATTGTGTCAGTTTTATGGTCAGATATTATAGCAGCTTCGCCACGGTTGTGCCAATAGTTTTATTATGACATAGGCTTAAAATTGGGAAGACATTTTGCATAAGGACTAGTGGGACATTTTGGGAAATATGCTTTTTCGTTACATGAGAAGATTGAAAAATATGTTGTACGATAAATATAGAACTAAAACCAGTTTGGCACAAATATTGGACATGGGAAAACAACTTGTCTGCTTAAGGTTACAGGAACAACTAAAGCTAGTAAATAAATTGTTGGTATTTTGTTAGTTTTTTCCTAACAAAAAGCTAAGTAAAAGAATGTCGATCTGTGGTGTTGCAAGGGGGAGAATTACGAATTACTATTTTTTTTGTCCAGGCGCAGTGATTTAAGCTTTCGATATATGACTTCACCGGGAAATGGAGTTCTCACGAAACTGTATAAATACAAAATATTCTCCAAGGAAGAGGCAAGAAACTTTGCAAACTCTGTTTTGACGATTATGTGGTATGAGAGAAAGCCCCAAGATCAGATTATTGTGATTAATGTTAAATTCAAGCTCAGTTTTAGTCTTTATACTGTGGATTTAAGCTGAAATGGATTGCAATTTCACGTGAATAATAACCAGAATTATTTGCCATTGTTTGATGGATTGAAATAAGATTTTATTGGAAAGTTTTCTGTCACTTTATTACATAAGCCATTTTCTTGGATATTATTGTAATATATTAATCTAGGAAGAGTATGAACCCAAACTATAAATTATCATTTTTAGATTTATGTTTCGAGCTTACACCTAAAACTTCAGTAAGCAGATGATTAGATTCATATAGGAATACAGCTGCATGTGTCTCACAAAAATCTGCACGCACACAATGCTTTATGTGCGGATGCATGTTTATTATACACACGCAGTGCGCTGAACTGGACAGGCTTCATAATTCACAAGTAGTTTGCAGGAGACAGTTCGGCTTTGTGGAGATGTTCTGTCATCGCCTCTTGTCAGCTTAACACTGCTGTCCCACAGAGCTAGTCTTCATCCCTCTGCCTCATCCTCGGCTCCACTTGTCTCCTCTCCGTGCGCTGTAAAATATGTATCTTTTCCCCATGAGAACGGATTTCTCATCTGCAGCAGGATGGAAAGGACTCTCCAGAGCAGCTATTCTTTATTCCACATGTCCATGCACCAGCTGAAGCATACACAACCCCGGTCCAGTCCCAGTTTGAGATTTAACTGCCATTTCATCATGTTCGAGGCGGTGAAAGGTTGCACTGGGACAAGATCTGGGGATGAACTTGAAGGCATGACAGCATGGGGGCCCCTTTTCAGTCAGAGTGATACATCCCAGCCTCTTTTCCTCCACATAAAAGAGAAATATAATTGACTTGGTATTAGTCAAAGTGGAAGGATAACACGCAATTATATTGGATTTTTGTTTTTCACCCATTAACAAGTCTTCTCTGTTTGTGTGGGTTTTAAGACACTGAGGGATTTCAAGGACTGTTGCAGAGCTGAATTAACAAGCAGATTTGTACATTTAGTCCAAAACACTCTCTTAGGAGACTCTTAAAAACACACACAAACAAGAAATCAGTGAGGGATTTTTTGTAACAAATAAGACCACACATACAGCAGCAGCAGCACTGTCACATATTATTTACATGACCTGTTCATAATGACTGCACCAATGCTGCCTCTGTCTTTTCTGTGTGTCTCAGTTTGAATACAGCCGATTAAAGAGAGCTGTCCATCACTGGCTTCAGTGGTGGAGGCTGACCCGAGCCTGCTGGGAACTGAACTGTAGTTAATTAGTGCACAAAGCCCAGGGACAAAAGAAACTTTAGGGGTGGAGGTGACGGGGGAGCTTCTTAGAAGTGGGGGGTAGATTTGGGAGAGGGGGGGGGATCTTGAGTTTGTAGCACAGAGGGACTTTTTTGGGGGGAATGTGTGTGTTCCTGTGTCGGGGTGCAGCAGCAGGGGGGGGGTAGGGGTCGAAGCAGTGGGAGAGGGGGCTCACAGAGGGATGAATTAGCAGTGTGAAGGGGAGCCTTGTCCCTGAGCTGAGAGCCCCCACCAGCCAGCACACACGCACTCTCTCCGCTGGATCCCGCCAAGGGACAAAAGCCTGTGTGGGTGTGGTGGAAAGGGACCTAAAATGAAAGACTGCAAAAGGTCAAAGTGTGGCATGAACTAATGAGAACAGGCAGTCTGTCAAGAAACTGATTTAGACTGAAAATATCTCTTTGATAATTAGGATCTTCTTTCGTAATCCCCCCAAGGGAAGCATATAGATCCTCCAGGCAGCAGTATTCCCATGTGTGTCTGTGCTGATTTAGTGGCATTATCATAGGTCTACATGTAGTAATGTACTGTGAAATTGATCAAATAACGCTAAAATATTTGTATGATATCAAATAGCAGGATTTTATTGATTAGTCAGGGTGAAATCTGTGGATTTGCTGAAAGAACCAGTGTACCACAGATGGTTATTATGCAGAAGGCTATCAGCCTCAAAGGCCACTCAATAACCCGCGGGAGGCGCTGTGTATCCATTGGGACCAAAGCTGATATTGACGTCCCCCGCCGAAGCGACCACAGTCCCTTTAATGCCACAATTGATCGGTGTTTAGCGGCGGTGAGCGGAGCGCCAGGCCGGTGTTACCTGCAGCCGGGCCCCGCAAACACTGCGGGCTGGAGGCCGCCTCACCAACCAACCTCCTCCTCCACATCCCACCTCCTCATTCCCCGCGACCCCCACCAGCACCATGAAGCAACGCTGAGAAATTCAGAGCAAACCCGGAAATTCAGCAGCCTTGACTTCAAAATAAAAGCCTGACATTTGGTTTTCGCTTATAATTATTTGAAAGAATAAATTAGGAATGCATTCCTGTATTGTTAATCATAGAGCTCACCAACCATGTCATGACATGTAAGAGCAGGGTAGCCAGGTGATAACAAAAAAAGAAAAATGGCCATGACGTCAGTGTTTGGGATGATGTCATCTTGTGTCCGGCCTAGTGATAGTGATAGACAGTGATAGTGACTAGTGATACATGCTTTACGGTATTGTGAGATCACTGACTATAGGCCTACTATGTTGTTGTGAAAAGTGCCTCTTATTTTGTATGTAGTCTAATTAATAAAAAATAAAATAGATAGATACATACATACATACACAAATACCAATATATCCTATATATAACTATACTGTATAAATACATAATGTTATACAGGCTTTATTGTGAAAATCATAAATCTATTTCGAATTAAGCTTAGCCTCCTACAGTGTTACAATGTATCAAAACACAATAAATAAATAAATATAAATAGATACAAATCATAAATCATATAACTATTATGCCAACATATTAGGCTTTTGTCAACAACAATGTTTTCCAAATGGCAACTACCTACTGAAACCCTAACCCTAATATTATAGATACATACATACATAACAACTTTTATGAAGAAAAATAACATCAACGTTTTTTTTCTTCATTAACGTCACATTGCTGCTTAGTTTAATGCGATGTCTCTTGCGTGAATAAATTACCCCAATACCCGTTATCGTGCTATTATTTTTGAAAATCCCGAACGGAAGCTTGAGGTCCACAGTGTGCAGCGCCAGCTTGCCTCCGCCGGAGCCCCAGCCCCCTCGGTGTCTCTCTGTCCCGGAGTTGCCATTCCGACGCACATCCCTCGCAGAAGAGCAACAGCTACGCGGAGTTGCCCAAAGTGGACTACACAGATTCCTCTGCGGACAGAAGGCGACCTGATACCCGGCTTTCATATCCTCTGCTCGGGGAGACCAGCAGCCGTGGGATGCGCCTGGACAGAGGTTCGGTGAGGTTAAAGTCGGATAAAGAAATGAGACTGGAAGGGTGCAGACTGTAAGCATCGCGTTCACAACTCCGGAGGAATAACGGGACCTGAATGAATGTGAAATAAAGCGTTCGGTTATTTTGTTTTATTATTTTTTTATACGGGGCGTAAAGACCCATCCCCACATCTGAAGACATGAGAATTGGGAGAGGAACACAAAGCTCGGCTGCGGTGCTCTGTGTTTGAGGCTCCATCCATCCGAAGGGTCCAGTCTGCACACCTTTATTCATGTTGCAGAAGCCTGTTTTATGACAATGGATTACTTGCTGTGGGTGTGCAGCCTCGTTGTCCCCGTGGTGCTGGCTGTAGAAGGTATGTGCTCTGATATTTGCATGACTACTTTGTGTCTCCTGTAAATGCACAATGGATGGACAGCTTGGATGCATTCGAATTTGGCAAGAAAACACATTATTGTCACATATTGAGAAAGAAACACCATTACCACTAGAATAAATTAGTATTTTATCTGACAATTTGAAGCATATTGGGCTCAGTCTAATTTGCCAGTTTAAACACCAGATCAGTCTTTAATGCTGAAATTAGATCTGTAACCAAGACTCATGTTTTGGTTAATTAAAGCTGTTAATATAATGCTCTGTTGAATAGGCAATTTCGCTCAGTATCAATTGGCTCTGTGAATGTATTCCATGTACACATGTATCATTCCCTGTGTGTGTGGTGTGTGTGATGAAACCCCAGTGTTCCCATTGCGGCTGAAGCACTGCCCTGTTGCTATTGTCCCTGCTGTTGTTGTCACACCCACAAGCTGAGTGAGGGTGCCCACCTGCCCCACCTTTCCCCCCCCCCCTACAGCACCACTGGTTATACAGTAGGCTACAGAGGGGCGTCCCTCTCACACTGAAACAGGAACACACTGATGCATGTGGAAGGATTCGAGTTGGGTTCTCCCACCAATCAGTGGTGTGTGGAGACCCAAGCGGATCAATCCCGGCCCCTGAAGCTCCACAGTCACATGCGGAACCCATTAGATGACAAGTGTGAATTAAAGGTCAATGGCTTAACAAGTATGCTGCAGCCCCTGGAAGCTCCCTCCATCACCGAGGGGAGTGTAGCTCCAGGGAGAAGCCCACCCTCCTCACTGCCTGCCCAGCTACCGTAGCTACATTTCTCTCCCTTCTTTCCCTCCCCGTCCAATCTGCCTCCCCTGGACCGTGGCCAGCTTGATCCCTCATCAATTCTGGTGTCAGCAAGTAAATCAATGCAGCGGCAGCAGCCCTCCAAGTCCCAGTCTCACGGCGTGATGATCAGCCCCGTTTCCCCCCCCCAACCGGACCAGTGGCTGTTACTCACAACTCAGGGGTTAACTAATGTTTGTCCTCTGAGGATAAACATGAAGGGCAGATCATCGGATTGGGTTTAAATGAGGGAGAAACTAACAGTTTTTTCAGTTGCATGTCGTTTTTTTTTAGCTGCTTACTCAGTGGACTCCAACACATTGCCTGAATCTGGAATTCGTTTTTTTTTCAGATTGGCAAGTGTTTGCGCATGGATGATGCAAGCTGGACTGCAACTTGTAGTGTGCTCCTGCTTATTTACAGAAGCCCCAGTGAGGACTTACTGTATCTCCATTTCTCTACAACAGACTGCAGTAAAAGCTTCAGTAACTTTGACATTGCTATGCTGTGTAACACTCGTTTACAGTCAGCGTTTACTGTACTGTTACATTAAAAAGCTCATAAAACAGATGGATGACCCGTAATGAAGGGTTTTATAAAGTTAGACACAGCTATCGTGTTTGCGATTGTAGGGTAGGCATTTAGCGTCAGTTGATTTTCACATCAATAGAGAGCTTCATTGGCCTTTTCCCGCTTTCTATACATTAGTAAATCAACAAGAATAATTATCTGTTGACCTGTAAAAAGCAGATGAAAGCAGCCATGAAGAGAGATTGAATTAGGTCAGCTTGACTTGTTCAGAAAGTGCTCATCAGAAAGCGTCAAACAGAGTATCACACTAGACTGTATCGCTGTGATCCAATGGAGGGAAAAATGCTCTGAAATACAAACGAACCCTTGCTTAGAAAGAGCCAAGGAGTCCATTTTTCCATCTTGATCACCCTATTTTTCCTCTACCTATTCATCGCCACATATTCGATCACCCTGTGATCACTGATGATGATGATATTAATATTGTATATGTTTGCTTGTTGGCAGCGAGTGTCAGTGTAGTACAAAGCGATGCCTCCCTTTCATGGTGCACAAAGTGAATAAAACATTAGCATGTGTGAGCTCCCAGAGCGCACTGGGAATGCAGAGTTGTGTGGCATTTTGGCTCCTGCGGGCGTAAAAAAAAAAAACACAAAAAATGACGGTACGGTAAATGCCACGGGTGGTGATGCTCTAAAGTTCCCACTGCAGCATTGTTTTCTTACCCCAGGGGCGGAATGACTCCACCGCTGCTGTGGTTTTATGGGAGATGAGGGAGATTTCTGGGTTTGAGTTATAGCAGCGAGGCGTTCTCAGAGGCACTGTACATTTAGCAGGGAGGGGGAGAACTGTGGAACAAATGGGATCTTTTTCAATCTGAACCGCTTTCGAGGATTTAGAGTTGACGATAACACACTTTGGTCAATAGAGTTTTTGGCCAACGATAACCTTATTATTCCCACGGAAATTTGAGAGTTGAGCAACACGTGAGCCTGGACTCAAATGGTAAAGGAATCATTTACATTTAATGACCATTTGTATATAAATTCTTCGAGAATACCTTGCTTTTCCTGCATGCCTTCGTGGTGAACAAAGAACAAAAAAACGGAAAAAGTGTTGAAGAAATAAGACTATTTATATACACCCTTCGACCAAGTCTTACACAACTCGTTCAGTATCATCCAAGTTCCCTTTATCCAGTTGTATGCTCACAATTTTCCAAACACATGCATTTTTGCTAAAACTGCACTATTTTAAACACTTCGGAATTGCTAAGAAGAACAGCGTACGTTAGTGTGAGACTGTTTACGTTGAATTTTATGACTCGATAAATGAAACTGAGATAGTAGGATTTGTGCAACAGTTGGTATGATTATGTTTTGATTTTGTTTGGCAAGAGCTAACGTTGGCCGCAATATCCTTCAATTGATCAAGACTTTTCAAAAATCTCGGATGCTTCGTTCATTGTTGAGGATTTCAAGAAACGAATACATTTTCCTAAATAATTCAAGCTACACGTGGTAACAGGTATACACAGATTTATGTTGTGCTCAAAATATTCTTTTCACACCTGAACACAGGCTCAGTTGCCTTAAAACTACATTTTAAATAGGAATAGGTTATTCATTAGCTTAAGGATATATAGCGTCATCCCCGCCCATTTATTACAATTCATAAGGACCTTTTTTCGGGTTCTTCATTCACTGCTGAAGAATTTGAGAAAAACAAAAAAGAAATTCAAGAATCTAAGGTTACATGCTAATGGTATTTCATATGCAAAGAGTTATTTTGTGTTTGAAATATTATTTTTTACATCTGAACACAGGCTTAGTTTCTCTAAAATCTAAATGTCCATAGGAACAATGTTATCTGTTAGCCTGAAGACATACAGCGTCATCGACTCTAGCTGGCTAATAATAGTTTCTGTAAAAGTATGATTCTTTGAAATATTGTGAAGAGAAATTCTGTCCACTCCTGCTCCACGGGGAGGTCAGAGGTCATGTTCGGATAGAAGAGCGGCTCTGGAGCTGCGAGGGAGTCCGTATCTCCCTCAAGAATCCTTCAGCGATGTGAAATCCCGTTTTCACAGGGGCTTGAACCCGGCATTCTACGGATGTAAGGATGGTCAACCTGCTGCCCGTCGTGTGAGGTGAAGCCTGCTAAAGGAGCATCGGGCCTGTGGGTTAGTTGAGGCTGAGTGATTCTGTCTCCGTTGCCGCCGGGCGACCGGGAGAGGAGAGGGAAGGGGGGACACACCGGATCAGACACCCGGGGGACGGGCAGTATCAGCAGCATGGAGCCCGGGAGCTCTCAGTCAGCTGTGTGCCACGAGTGCAGCCGAGCAGAGACAACAGACACTGATTTCCCTGATTAGTTCCTCCGCTCTGACTCAAGTCGTGCAACAAACAACCGTGTTCACCATCGTGTATTGGAGCAACCCAACTGCTGTCGCTCATGTCCTCACGCACACAACTACAGAAGGCCTTCATAATTTATAGACAGGACTTGCTTTATGCATTTAAAGCATGTTTGTGCTTTATCTCAATTTTCAACAAAAGATGGAGGGAGCCACTTATTTCTTGTGGAAGGGAATCATTTGTACATTATGCAGCTGTTTATTCAAACTTTTCTTTGCTCAAAATACTGCTATCTGCACATGAAAGTATTCTGGTTACAAATCACAGGCTTAATGCTCCCCATAAAGAAATTACAAAGTGACTATGAGTTCATTAGCTTCTTGTTAATGGATCGTCATTTAATGATCGTTAATTCAATGTACTTCATTCTTTCATTTATACACCACCAAATGAGCTGGACTCCAGTTACATAGAAAAGGCCTTTTTCAGGGCCACACTTAACCCCTTATCTTATTCAAATATCCATCATTTGATATCCTTCTAGTTGTTGTATGCCAACACATGTTGGTTTGTGATGTTAAACATTTTTTTGATGGATAAAATAAATCATATTTGGCATATCAAAACTGTTTCTCAATCCATGGAGGAATGCACAAAGCCAATATTCGGAAACACCTTTAAAGGATCTGTTATCCTGACTGTTATGACTTCCTATAAGGTATACATATACAGTATACAGTATAAGTGATTCCCTGGCAGTGACAGTGGAGAAATGTCCAGAACGCAGATATAAAAGACTGGTAAAAACGGACTAATAAGAAGAGATTTTTTCAGGAGGATGTCGAAGACACAGGCGCAAAAACAGAGCGTTTCAGACAGAGGGTGAATACAGGTATATTTAGAAGACAGTTTTAGGAAAATAATCTATTTCCTTAATATTAGAGCATGTAAACATGTTCTATTAGAAACCCAATATAGAAGTATGAACCTGAAAATGTGCATATGATGTCCCCTTTAAGCAATAACATTCATCTTAAAGTGGAATACATCCAACATTAATTCATGATTTAAATAAAAATGTATCATGCTCTAGTTATGCATTACTTACAGTTCATTGGGTTTAGAAATATACATATTCCTTTTTTTCTTTGCTGAGCTTTAGATAAAAAGATTAATTCCACTTTCATGTTTGTTAGATACATCTGAAGCTAGAGCCAGCAGCTGGCTAACTTAGCTTAGCACAAAGACTGGAAACAGCTAGCCAGGTTCTGTAAAAAGCAGACATAGA